ATAATAACAATAATAACAATAATAGCAATAATAAACAAACGAGCAAAAGCGTTAGTATTAGTGAAACTGGTAAAAGTACTAACAATGACACAGAATCATTATTACTTAGAAAATATGGTGTTTGTGAGAAACATTGTATTGGTAAAGGTGCAACAGCTGTTGTTCGTCTTGCTCATAAATTTGATAATTCAACTTGTGAAAGAATTTATGCTGTCAAGGTACTTAAAAACTCCTTTTCTTTGGAAATCACATAAAATATTAACAATAACAATAACAATAACAATAATTATTTTATATAATAAATTAGGAATTTAGAAAGAAAAGAAAAAATGAAACAGAAAAAGATTATGTAAAGAAAGTTGCAAGTGAATTTTGTATAAGTTCTACTCTAGATCACGTAAATATTGTTAGAACTATAGACTTACTTCAAGATGAGCATCATAATTGGTGTGAAGTTATGGTAATTATATTTAATTATTTTAATTATTTTATTTTTTATTAATATTAACATATTTTTTTTTCATCATAAAAAATAATTATTTAGGAATATTGTGCTGGTGGTGATTTATACTCTGCAATAAAAGCAAATCATATGACTTCTTTAGAAATAGATTGCTGCTTTAAACAACTTATAACGGGAGTTAGTTATCTTCATTCAATGGGAGTTGCTCATAGGTATTCTTTATTAAAAGCTATTGTTAATTGATCAATTGACTGAAATATTTTACTATGGTTTTTTATGTAGAGACATAAAACCTGAAAATTTATTGTTGGATGTAAAAGGAAATTTAAAAATTACAGATTTTGGTGTATCCGATGTTTTTAGAACATGTTGGGAGGAAGAAATCCATAAATCTAAAGGCTTATGTGGATCTGAACCATATATTGCTCCTGTAAGTAGCCTTTATATATTTATAAATAATAATATTTATATATTTATATATTTATATCTTTAAAATAATTATCACAGGAACAATTTGAAACCAAAGAATATGATGCTCGTTTAGTAGATATATGGGCATGTGGAATCGTATATTATTGCATGATGTATCAAGGTATTCCATTTAGAATGGCAACATCAACAGATCTGAATTATTTAAGTTATTTGGAAGCAAGAAGTACTGGATTGTATGAGCCATTTGAAAGGTTGTCAAGTGGTTGTCGAAATTTAATGTACCGTATTCTTGAACCGGATGTTAAGAAACGTGTAACCACTGACGATATAAAAAACGACAAAGAATGGTTTCAATCAATTGAATCTTGTGTTGAATTAACATCACCATCATCTGATAATAATAATTGTTCTTTAACAAAAAAACATTATCATATTCCACCTGAAAATTTAAAATCAATATCATCATTGGCATAATAATAAATAAACAATGAAAAAAAGTTGTCTATTCATAATTTTTTGATGCATAAAGGCAATCATTCATTTCACAAAAGACTTATATTTTTAATATTAATAAACAAAAAAAAAACAAAATAAACAATAAATAAAAATATAATAAAACTCTATATTATCCAATTAAAAAATAATTAAAATTTTGAAGCTAAAATTATGCCGCTGCCTTTTGAGCTATATAAAATCAGAATATAAAAACAATGATTGATTGATTATTAGTGGAAAAATTTTATATATTTTAAAAAATCTTTTTTTACAAAAAAATTTTTTACCTAGTGTAATTTTATCACCTAGACTTAAAGCTATGCCTTGTGTTTTACTACGAATTCGAACATGGCCAGTAATACCACTATCAGATTGTTTCTCAATACTAATATTTGCTAATGCATCTTCACCTATATAACCATTATTTATTGGTCGTTATTGTTAATATTATTTTTTAAAAAATTAATAATATTATTATAATATCTTACCGAAAATACTTCGAGCATACATATTTGCTGACAAAAAGTCACATTTACCAGATAATGCAGCTTCTGGTGTTAAGCAACTCATATTTGTTGACTTTATAATATGTCCAAGATATTCTCTTAAATCACTATTGTTCAAATTCAATGTAATAATAATAACAATAAATTAATTCGGAATATTTTTAAATCGTGGAGAAAAATCTATATTTAAATATATATTATAACTTACGTGATGTTTGTATTAACATTAACTTTATTCTCCCATTCAAATTCTGTCCACATAGTACGGAACTTTTAATATAAATATTTTTTTTTAGTATTTGACTGCAAAACTATCATGGTAAAAAGAAATATATTATTTATATACCTGGGTTTCATTACAATAAGCCGGGTTTATATAGTCCATTATATCAATATGAATATCATTAAAAACAACACAATTACTTTCTAAGGTACCAGGTCCGTCGTATACAATATTACCAAATATCACACCAGTTTCTGTAGATGAAACCTAAATAAATCAAAAATCAAATCAAATTTAATAAATTAAATTTTTTTTTTTAAAAAAAATAATTGTTTTTCTTAAAAGAATAACAATAATACACATACTTTAATTGTGGCTTTAACACTAAGGAAACTATTAGAGGCAAGGTTATGTTGTACTGGTCTTTCAACTAATTTCAAATCACCCAAAGTAGCAAATTCTATTGATAAATTTTGGAGCGTTTCGCTAGTTTGATTCACAATCAATACATCTATATTTCAAAATCAATTGACTGCTATTATTATAATATTCTACCTAAAATGACTTAAATCTTATATAGATGTTGTAATAATTACCGAGTAAAATATCATACTGATGAACGTTAACATAAGCTTCTGCGTATACTGGATCCGAAAATCCTTTAAAAAAATCCACCCAAAAATACCATCTATTATTAATATAATAAACTAAATGGTGTTTTTTTAAAAAAAAGAATTGCCTGTATACCTGTAAGTTGTACAACACGACTAAGCTTAGAAATTAGGTCATCACGAGAATCACTTTGACCTGTAGCTCTAGTTAAATCTAATTCGTACTGTTATTTTTTTTTATAATTTAAATAATAAATTAAGACCCGATTAATATATATATTTGGTTGATTGATTGATTGATTTCAAAAAAAATTTTTTTTTTATTGA